TGTCGCTTAAAATCATTTTTCAAGTTCTTCTCATTTATTATTATGTTGGACTTGTCATAGTATCCAAGACCATCTTCATCCTGGTAATACTACAAAAGAGAACAAAATAATTAGCAATACAGCTGTCCCAAGCAATAACCAATAAAATATATCGTGATAGGACCACTTATTTTTAACACTGCTAATAATCTCTCTCTCTCTCTCTCTCTCTCTCTCTCTCTCTCGCATACACACACATTTCTTGTTGTGCCCAATCCATGACTCTTTCCAACTTTTACCGGCAACCGGTTCACTGTCATAGTCAGTGGCGTACATATAGGCGTACCCATAGACATATAATAATAATATATGTCTATGGGCGTACCCAATTATTTTTCTAAAAGTAAAGAGAATTCATTAATGTTTGAAACATATCTCTGACTTTTTGGGTAATAAAAATCTTGTGCTAATACTGAAATGGAAAATTATATGCAATCACTGTCATAGTCAGTGGCGTACATAGAGGCGTATTCAATTATTTTACTAAAAGTAAAGGGAATTCATTAATTTTTAAGACATATTTTTGACTTTTTGGGTAATAAAAATCTTGTGGTAATACTGAAATGGAAAATTATATGCTACTTTTCCTAATTTGGACGTTAATTTAAGTTTTTATACCCCTTACTTTACATAGTTTGTATTTTTTTTTACAATATACGGAATTGGACATTTATAAGGAATTGAAATTTAGACATAATTGATGTTATTAATAAGGACTCATAAGAGGGCTTCATTGATATTTATTGCTCCCCCCCCTCCGGGTGTAGGAGTACTTTACTGCGGGTTTGAACATTATTATTATTATTGGCAACAACAAATAACAGGCAGTGATTGTACGTATACAGATAAAACCACGAATGGGCGAACGATTTCACACATCAGCTGCTAATGGTCAAATGTGAACAGGCCGTGTTCGCACCTTCGTAGTTTTATCTGTATATTCTTGTAAAAGATAAGTTAAATAATAACTTTTTTCTTTGTGAACTGTTCACTATAAATTAAATTGTACAAATTAAATAAATTAATTATTTATTATATTTATAACATAGTACCACACATTGCTCATTTCATATTTTCATACATATAATCATGTTTTGAAATAAAGTGTTCTATGCTATTCTATTCTTTTCTTTCCTATTCTATATCTCCCTGTCATAGATACCTACCATGTCATCTTTATTGACATACAGTTCAGTTTTAATATCTCCTTCCTTTGTGAATGTTTGAGAAGAGCTTTCGATTTCCATTCCTGTTTCATATATTCTTGCAAAATCATTTTTCAATTTTATAGCAGTATCTATGTATTCTTCATCATCTTTTAATTTTTCGAAATAGTCAAGTGTTTCGATCTCATCCCCTTCATAAGTGATCGAGTTTGTACTGATCTGTTAAAAGAAAGAGTTATTATTGGTAGTGGCGGTTGGTGAAATGTATGTATATCTTGATATTCGTGGAATCCAAGTGATTGTATAAAACATGACTTTTAAATGTAGATATTTTGCAAAAAATGCGATTAAGAAAACATTGCAAGAATGTTGACCTATTCAGGTTATATTTAAATAATTTGCAAAATGTTTTTTTTTAATATGTAATCAGGAGTAAAAAGTATTGATATTTTGTAAAATTATGACATTTTGAACTTTGCATAATGAAAAATTAATTTGAAGTAAATTTTCAAAAAAGTGTAACTCTTTATATAACCACAATTTCTTAACGAAATTTAAAATAAAATGTCTTCCTGATGCCGAAAAAAAAAAATTGCCAATATTTTACAAATTGTTTAAGAATCACTAGGGTGGCACACAATTTTTGCGACTTTTTTCTCAAATTTTATTGCATTTTTTTTTGCAATACTTCATCTAAGTATCTAAAAAACCGAAATTGTTTGGTTTTGCTTCGCTAATTTTTTAGACCTTGTACTGAAATTGTAACCAAAAGAATACTGCAAATGCTTTATAAACCCAATTAAATTTTCTCCTAAAGAACAAAATGGCGGAGTTTTAAAAAATGTAATATTCAAAAGTAGCTGACACTTACAATTTGCATTTTTGTTCCAAAATAACATATTTGTCCTATGAGTATATTCTTTGTATATTACCAGTCCAAAGATTTCAAATATGACCAATGACCAATAAAATTATTATTACTAGTGACAGTCATGTTTAATGTATCGTTTGGCTGTTATGCTGCAATATTATGATACGACATAAGCAAATTTCACCAGTCGTCACATATTATTGGAAGGAAAAATGACAGTGTGTTGGTTGTTGCTATCAACTTTGTTTTGTCGTAATGAATGCTGCATGTGTGAGGAAAAAGAAAAGTGATAATGTTAAGCCTATATGTAATAATAGTAAACGTAATTATAATGAAAGGAGATCTGCCATTCTCATATGAAATCAACCCGTAGTACCAACCTCACATAGCACAAGACATGCTAAATATATGCGTAAAACACATAAATAAGGGATTATTTTATATACACCGTGTCTCAAGAGCTTCTGCAATATGTATTTTGTACATATGCGTACATTCCTACGCAGCCCAACCAACTAGCCTTATCAACGAGTCAGGTGGACACGTGAATAACATATTAACTAGCCTCGCCCCGCCTCGAGCTTCTCAGTCTGCCGTAAGGGCGGCGATTTACAACCATGACATACCTTAAATGTGCATTATTGGCTAGAGGAGGGGCCTAACTTAGACTGTATTTTATTGCACAATGACCCACTTACTAGCAGAAATAGCCCTCTGTTGCTAGTCACGCCCAATTTTGCCAAAGATCTTGAGACACGTTGTATATATTCATCTTCAAATATACTTTGCATAGAGCAAATATGCTCTTGCATACAGCAAATATGCTCTTGCCCCTCTTACTTATATGCACTTAGCCCAACCTCTAATTTTCAAGCAGCAAATGCATATTTCGCTCAGAACGTACAACGTAATTAAAAAAAAAAAAAAAAGAACTGATACATACACTAGATAGTTCTTATTAAAATAAGAATACTTTAGCAATTTTCGCTGTTGTACACAGTCTACCTTTGAAGATTTAGTGAACCGAACACAGCACCTGTTTTCAAAAATATGAGTAAAAATTTCGAAATTATGTTATAGGATCATTGTTCACTTGTTGACGATTTGCCGGTCGACGCATATAATTTGAGACAAGAAGCAAACAATTAAATATACAGAAGGATATTTCACAGCAGTATGAAAACAGTAGCAAAATACTTACCCCAAAATTGCTCTTGCCCTTATTGATCTGTATATTAATTTTTATGCACATATTTCTTCTACTTCCTGCATATACAGAGTACATTCAATATTTGCAGGGAATATAAATGGAATGATCATAGTATATTTCTGTGCTATATATAAAAACAAATACACAACTTACTCTGTTCGGAACAACCAATTCCAGTGTTTTGATTTCTTTAATAGAACCATCAGCACTGTGTATATTTTGTGTAGCCACTACTGTAACATTGCCACGAATTTGTTGTAAAAATCTTTCAACTATTTCAGTAAGCAGTCTCAGTTTGTGTTCTTCCCAATTTTCGCGAAGCTGAAATAATGAATTATTTGCTTAATATTCCATATCTATAAATAACCATCAAAAAAATATATATGTGTTATATATATATATATATATATATATATATATATATATATATATATATATATATATATATATATATATATATATGTGTATATTACGTTGTCTTTTTTTAGTGTAACTGAAAGTCACTCCCTAGGTTTTCTTAGTTCGCAAAATACATGTATTTAATAATTAACTCACTTTAGAAAACTTACAATTGGTTTGAGGAATGCATTTGGAATTTTGATAGAAGCTTCTGAACGACTGATTGAGTACATACAAAAAGTGGATAAAACACCCAAAAACAAAAACTTTGTTTGCAGTATTTTTATAGTCATTTTGTAAACTTCAGTTGCATTATGGAATTTTCTTTATATATCTACAACTTATCTTTAACCTTCCCAACTCAATATCCATAAGAAACATTTTTTTAAAACTTGTTTACTACCATTAATTTCATTTTGATATACAAATAAAACAAGATAAAAGTAGTAATCAGTTTCTTCCCAGCTATAGCAACACAAAACAGTAATATATTATATGCAGTAAACGCAAGTTTTATAATAATATGAAATTTTTAGGTACCTATCTTGTATTCCGTTCGCATATTTGTTGGTGATTTTTGTGACATTTGATAAAATATAAAAAACGTTATACAGTGTGTTCGCTGATGGGGTTGCCAAGAGAAAAAACTTCTTCATTTAATCATTTGCGAAAAAAAGTCAATCTATATAATAAATTTTGCTTCTCTTAAAACAGTTCCGTCTTCAAAGCATATAAATCACTGTGTCAGTAAATTATGATAACAACACTGTACCAGGAGGTGGATCTTACCACCCAGCTAGCGTCTCGGCTATTGGTCAATGTGACATGCCATTATCTCTAAGTTTTATTCAGGGTCGGATTCGAGTTTATGGTGATTTATTGTGGATTCGCCATTATCGTTGAGAGAATTATTATTTATTATGTGTTGTGTATACATACTATTTTGTGAAGTAATCAAAAATGATAACATGGATTATAAAAGAGAAAAAAGGCCTAGACTGAGAATAAGTGCTCCTGTAAAATGGGTTATGCAGTGACGAAGAATAAATATCGTAAATTATGACAACAATTTAGAACAGCGGTCGAGTTAATTCTATTTAATGCTCATAATTAGGGTTTGTATCACTTAACAAACATTACAAGGCATATATATGAGCAAGGCGCCAAATTTATTGCACCATAATTCACAAAACACTGAACTACAAAGTACAACAATTTTCTGAAAGTTACTTTTTTCCATATCGTACCGATGTAAACACTAATACAAACGTTATACGAATGACAGTCCCTATTCTAAACAACCCTGGCTTTTGCACGCTCCTCGTTCGGGGATCGAACCTGGGACTCCAGGGTGACAGGCAAGTGTCCTTACCGCTGGACCACAAAGCCATATTTATCACAGTTATCTTGGGAGATTGTTTTTAGAACATTAAATAAATAATTATTCAGAAAAAACGATTTAAAAATATGAAATGTTAATAAATTACAGCCTTTCAAACAACTAAGTAAAGCAATATTTATATTATCTGTCGCGCTTGATAACTTAATTAATATTTGATATTTTCGAAAACCTTTTCCTGAAAGTGTTTACATTTTTTGTAATAAATAATTTTACCAAAATTATAAAAAAACTGGTATGGTCAAAATGTTCTTAAAAAGTGGGACATTTTTAACTTAGCAAATCCTCAAACCTAGTCAACGTAAGTTATTCAAATTTCAATGAGGTGTGCTCAGTCTAATTTTATTTATAGAATTTTATAATAAATTTGTACTTAAGATAAGGATAAACTTTTCATTTTTTTTTTTTGCCCAAGCACGATCGGGAATGTCCTCCCATGGCCTTCGATATCACACAGGAGGAATACCACTGAATTACCTACAGACACTCCTCACATCCTGAAAAGTTAATGACTGTAGATTTTAGAATCGTGTGCCCTAAATGGAGAAAGGGCAATTATTTTTTAGTTTTTTTTAAATACAGGGTGACAATAGTGTGTCCGACTTCGATATATCGAGTTCTATGATAGCTAGAAACTTGATTTAAAAACATAAATAAACTAGACAAAAAAAGTCTATAATCGGAAATTATTTTCAACTAGGGTGAGCCAAGACCATTTTACAGGGTCAACTAAATTTTCTTTAAATGGAATGCCATGTATATCAGAACATTTTTTAATACTGCTTTGTGGTCTCCTTCCACTCCTGCATTATTATTGACTTTCTCCCAACCACTTGGATGTAATGATATATATTGTTGAAATTATGCCATTTACACATTTAAATTTACAGCTATTTGAACTAAATTTTATCAGTTTTTTCAAATGAAACATGTTTTGGACGACGTGATATAGAATTGAATAACGAACATTTTTTGTACGTACATCTCTATGGCTATTTGTAATCATTTTCGATTTATTGAACAATAACTTCAAAATTCAGTAATAAAAATTAAAAATACATATTTTTTTTCTAATTCAAGAAAAGATATTATAAAAAGTGCATATTACCCATTTTGATTGACACACATTTCTATGCGTTTTGGAATGAGGTTTCTACTGTTCATAAAATTGCCGGAGTGATACTTTTAAAAGCATTTATTCTCCTTTTCTCCAAATTTTGGATTGTTGTTGGTGTGATGTTTTTATGGGCATCATGTAACACGCTTATTATAATACCTTCTCTTGAATAATGTGAAGAAATTCTCATTTTTTTTATTTTTATTGCTAAATTTTGCAGTTATTGTTCAATAAATTGAAAATGGTTACAAATAGCCATACGAATGTACGTACAAAAAATATTAGTTTTTCAATCCTACATCACATCCTCTAAAAATATACAGGATAGAGAAAATTCAGTTCAAAAAGTTGTAAATTTAAAAATCCTTTTTGGCCACCCTGTATACTTTTAGGAAGTGAAAATGGCTGAGTGTCATCACACAGATGCCTCATAATTGGTACTAACATATTTTTTCTTAAAATTGATAGTTGTGATTGTAGGGATATTTTTAATGTACCTACACGTGTAAATGGTATAATTTCAACAAAAAAAAAACATTACATTCAAGTGGTTGGGAGAAAGTCAATAATAGTACAGGAATGAAAGGAGGCCACAGAGAATGTTCATAAAATGTTCTGATATACATGGCATTTCATTTTAAAAAATGTTATTTGACCTTGTAGAATCGTCTTGGCTCGTCCTGTATATTCAAAAACAATTTCCGGTTATAGACTTTTTTTCTAGTTAACTTATGTTTTTCTATTAAATTTCTAGCTATCATAAAACTCGAGATATCGAAGTCGGAAGCACCATTGCCCCACCCTGTATATTAAAAAACTAAAAACTAGTTCCATGTTAATTTTTAATAAATGAGTGTATTTTCCTGTTACTGAGAACAGTATAATTACAAAGGTACAGGGTAAGGCACATGAAATATGCCCCTCCCCATTTTATTGTTCTTTCTAAAAATATTTTATAGCTGTATTACGCCATCTTATGATGGAATTTGGTAAGCGTATTTTAAATTTAAGCTCAAATATAACATTTAACTAAAAATGCACAAGTTAATTAAACATGTTTTTCGTAAAAGACACGCCCTATATATTTTTTGATAAATTGACAAGAGTTCATTGAGGCGATTCTAAAAATATGTAACTGTAATATATTTAGAGTGGAATGAAAAATAATATTAACTGAAAATTTTTGTTAATAATTATTATTTACTAACTTTTACAAATCTTATCACAGATAAGTATAACATATATCTTTTTAAACAATTATTTTCCCGGCTATTTGCCAAAACGCTGAAACTTGGATTACAAAAAAAGATAATATGCACATTATGTTCAGTACTACTGACTCAATAATGTTATTTTTAATTTCAAATATTCTGTCTAATAAAACCAAAAATAAATAAAACACAGTTGACACTCACTTTAAAAAACTTTAAAATATCTACCGACACGTGTTTCTGCTTGCCTTAGCGTCATCAGGGTAGCCAGCATATTTAAAGAATCCAAAGTAAGGAAACTTGTAAACCCCAATGTAATAAACATTAATGGCTTCAGAGAACAGAATAATTGAAATTATATAGTGGAAATACCCCTTATTAGGGTCAGTGAAATAATTTAAAAACAAATTAAGTTCCTCTTCTTGATAAATATATCTATGATAATATATTTGCTTCAAAATTAAGGCAGATAGCAAAGAATGGTTAAATTTTATAATAATTCAAGCGATATTACTATCATTTAATTTCTCAAATATCAATTTCTATAGAGAATAATGAAGTTAAAAATAAAATGAACATAAAATTAAATAAAAGAAAATAAAAGAAATATATAATAAAATAAAATTTAATGAGTCTTTTAGTGGTACTTTCTTTATTTATGAGGCAAATATATTACAGCTTTATATTTTTGAAATCGCCTCAGTTGACTCAAATTATCGAAAAATGCAGTGTAAAATTACATATATATTTGTTCAACCTGTATATCTTTGCTTAAATTATAAATTTGAGCTTAGATTTAAAATCTACGAAAAAAATTCTATAAAAACCGCTGAAAAATATTTTTAGAAGTAACAACAAAAATGAGAAGAACATTTTATGTGACTGACCCTGTACATACAAAATAAAATATCATAAATTATGTTTACAATGACATTTTTCTTTTTTTATTGACTGTTGCTGCATTAATTACTCCTAGTGCGAATGGCATCAATTAATTCACTTGGAATATAAATATTGTAGTGTTAATGTTCTTACTAAAATACTAGTAGTAAACGGGGCCATAAATCACACTGAATACACGTACAGTTGACCGCGCGATTATACTGTAGAGGGCGCCTGCTCCTTGCGTATACAAGGAGCAGGCAATTAAAAATATTTAGTTGTAATAATTTAAAAAAAAAATTTTGGTGGTGAGTGTGTGTAATTATATTCTATGTCGCTGTGTTTTCAGTTTTTCAGTTTTCGTATTTTGAAATTTAGAAAAATGGTAGAAAAAAATTTTTTTTTCAAAATATCCCACGCAGTGACACAGATTGAACTTTCATCTGTATGTCCTTCAAATTTCATATTCATATATTCTATAATAACGTCACAGTTATCCGGCTACAAATCCATGTTTTGAATGCTCGCAGACGGAACTCTTAAATAACTATTCAGATTTAACTTTATATACAAGGTATTCAGAGGTGAAGAAAAAATTTATAGATTAGTGATATACGAAAAAAAGTTACTCTTTATTAAAAACTGTACATCTTTTAAAAACTCCAAAAATCCATAAAAATGTTTAATTAATTACGGGATGTCCAATGCTTAAAGATTTTCTTTTGATTTGATAAAAGTTGTTTGTAAAATAGGGAGCCTTTTTCAAGACCTTATAAAACCTAATAAAATGGGAATTTGAGTATCCTATGACACAAACAACCAGGATCCCAATAGGAACAATTTCAGTAATAGAAAAAAAATATTTAATAAAATTACTACCGAATTCATAAACGGTATTTATGATGATTATAAATGTGTTAACAAAATGTATGCAAAAAACGAACTTCCACGTATTATACCACGTTTAATGAAAAGAAATAATTAAGCCACGCTTCATTAATTTACGGTTGCGCAGAACAGTGTACGCAACAACTAGTTTCACACGCTACAAATTAATAAAAGCGGGAATTAAAAACTCATATAATTTGAAATACAATTTTTGAGGAATTAAATTGATAAAACGTCAAGTGTGAAATAAGTATACGAAATTTAAAATTCTTTATTATTTATAACATTTAGTTAATATTAATTGTTTTTATTGTGTACCTTAATATACACAAATGTACACTAGTCTTGAAAAACACAATTTTTTTATATGATTGGGAATAACAGTAAATTGAAACAACGAATAACAACTGTAATTTCTACAAGACACCAAAAGATCTTGAGGCAGTTAAGTAAAGCGGTTGTTTGTATTATGGGTTTTAGAAATACGACCAACAGAAAAATTCTATTCAAATATGGAGCGTATTTGTGGAAGTGGCTTAACTTTCCGTTCATTAAACGGAGTATAGTGTTAATAGAAAACAAGAAAATAATAATAACACGGCTTATGGATTTGGTAATAATTTCATTAAATATTTTTTCTATCCTTATAAAAATTGTTCTTATTGATGACCCTGGGATACACAAATCAACATTTGAATAGCTAGGGTTTTAAGAGCAGCTCCCTATTTTACAAAGAACTAGTTTTGGCAAATCAAAAAAAAAGTTTCTGCCGTGGGACACCCCGTAATTAATTAAACAATTTTAGAGATATTTGGGGTCTTTAAGAGATGCACATTGTTAAATAAAGAGTAACTTCTTTTCGTAATTTAGTAAATGTAGAAAATTTTACTT